GATAATAGGGTTTTCGTTGTGTTGTTGATGCACACAAATTCTGTTTATCATAACTTAAAATTTAAAAATAAACTTTCAAACGTTTTGCTTAGCAGAGCAGATCTTACGCCAACTGGGGTATTTTGGAATCTACCAAACGGCTCAAGTTATCTGATCAACCTAAATCGCATTCAATCCGTGCTTATACCCTCTAAGTATTACGATCAATACCAAAAAAGCTGCTCGAAAATTAGACAAGTAACGGCGGACATGTAAATTCAACGGTAAAGAATAAATAAAATAACTATCTCCTTTGCCTTGCCTGTTACTGCCCTTGATAACGGCCGCTACATGAGCCGTGTTTTGGATCAGGAAGTTAATATTTGTATCTTTTCGATTACAAAACGATCTCTAAATCACAAATCTGACACAAATGAATAAAAAAATCGGAACAACTCCCGATTTTCCTGATCGCAAAGGTCAAGATGAGGAAATGTCGTGGCCGTGTCGATCGATGCGTGACTCGAGCCGTCGCGCTCCCTGCCCACTCTCATATTACACGTGGCAAGAATAATGATCATTAAGGTACTAGGAGTCCTAAAACAGCTAGCTAAGGCAGCCTCCATAGGATCTTTCAGGATAAAGTAAGACTTACCTTACCAACATGTAGGCATGACAGTTTCATATTAATCACATACTAGTGTTATAAACTCAAAAGCCTGGGATATTCGTGTATTACAACGTGGCAAGAATTATGACCACTAAGGTACTAAGAATCCTGCTGTCTAACATAGTTTGCCAGGATATTTCAGGATAAAGCGAGACTTGCCCACCTGTCGGAATGTTAATTAATCAAATACCAATATTTAAGACGCAAGTTTGGAATAATTTGTAAGCCACTGAACAGACTTGAAAATTTGTTAGTAATATAGTAAGGCTGAAAGGTGACGCGAGCGTCTGCAGGTTTCGAGTAATACCAATTCAGAAGTTAGTTAAATCTATGGTAAATTACCTAACTATCAAACAAACACTGGTCAATTTTTGCTCTCATGAACTAAAGCTTGCTGCCACCAAATCCATACCTACATGCATTTTATGTTCAATCCTTGACAATCCTGGTGATTCAGAATATTTGATAACGAAATAATTTATTGTTATGTCCTTCTGGATTGGCCCCCGGGGCGGTCCCCCCCCCCCCCCCCCCNCATGACCGCAGATTTGCCATGCAGATGTCCCAGTGAGTACTAATCTGCGCACTTGTGTCACCCCCTGATGCTTGGCACCCGGGGCGGACCGCCCCCACCGCCCCCCCCTTACGCCGCTACTGGATCACAACATCCTGGCACTGATATCTACCTAGTAAAGGCACCACTGACATATACTACAGGTGTGTAAAGCGCCATCTCGAAAGTTTGAGGAGATGTTTGAACATGTTTTTTTACTATTAAAGTAGGTAATAGTTAAAATTGTATTCATATTTTTCTTTCAATTACTTTCATGTGTTTGTTACTAAATTTTTTACAATAACACATCCTGTATAGTTAAGACCAGTGCCGCCAGCCGGTCTGATCAGAAATATCACGCCGTCTGCGAATGGAGCAATACATCAGAACACACACGTGCACTCACAATAAAAATGGTAATTCACTGCGCGTTTCTTGAAAGTTTTATTCTCTCTGAGATCATGACTCAATTTCGCTCTATTGTTTATAAGGACTAACAATGCTTTCGACATAAGAATTGAACTTGAGAACTATCTAGATTCTAAACAATTTCTAATTTAAATTCGTTCTAAAAACTAAAATGAAAGTCTCATGACATGGTTTCTAAAAAAACTGAAAGTCTGGTAAAACACTAAATTTTCAGCAGCTAGTTCAGGCAAGGTCGCTTTTGTATTCATACATGAGAATCCTTTATTATTCAGGGTAAAATTTCGCCCCAAAGGTGAAGGAACCTAACAAAAACATAGACAATACGTGTTTTGTTCGTAGACGTCACTGTGACACGTAGCACTACAATGAGTTGATAAGTATGATGACTGTCATGTGCGTCGGATGCACGCAAATTGACTACAATCGCATGGCTCTATCAGGGGTGTCGATGTTTGGACTTTTTGGATACCTAATTGATTTTCAGATATCTAAATCCTTTGATAAAGATCCCCAACTGATCATATTTATGACTGTAACAAAAAGAGATTAATAATTTTAACCTTCCATAGACAAAAAATACTAAATTATGATAATAAGAGTACTGAACAGCAGAATGTTTTGAAAATGCGAACTTTGGCATTCATTTATTAAAGTAGCCTATGAATATTTATTAAAGTATACTCTCAATTATTATTTTTTGAAGTTTGTTTAAAACACATTAACAGTTTTCTTTTATCACCACGTTGGCCTTGTAATAGAAAGGTTTGCAAAATCTTATGGCTCTATTCCAATAAAATACGCAATTCCATCTTAATATTCCTATCAGCAGTGCACATCCCTAGATTCATAGAACACCGGTCAGTAACTGTACTGGCACCTAACTCTGGCATTAAAATGTCTCTTTTCTAGATGTTTCAAAACCCATTGCAGTTGTCTATTTGTTTGCAAAATGTTATGGTTCTAATCCAATAGTCATTCTTCTTAATATTCCTATCAGCACATCCCTATTGAAGAACACCGGTCAGTAACTGTACTGGCACCTAACTCAGGCATTAAAATGTCTCATTTCTAGGGGAACGCCATAACCGGCGCGCGCGCCTCTAAACCAATTGTCATTGTATCGTTATGGCCCATTGTTACGGTCAACCTCCCATTACGCGGGCTTGACGTAAATCTCACTAATTAATTGCACAGATGTAAAAAGATCTAATTATTTACATAAACTCGCAACACATTGCAGTGCCACATTGGGGTTTTACCAATGCACTGCAATAAAATATGAAATTTATTGTTATTGTAAAAACGTTACGTTTGAATTGAGCATTGTTATTGTAGTATGGTTCATGATATTTGCACAAGCATTATAAACTTATGGTTATCTGTAACATTACATAAGTGTATTTATAATTACCTAAACATGCAAAGGCTTTTAAACCAATAAACACTACGTATAATACAATTAATAACTACGTATAATACAAAAAAAAACTGTAGGTAACAGTTGCTTTTCAATACTTACTCCAGCAGAAACGTTCATCAAAATGTTATATTAATGGTGAAATAGAATAAAAATAAATATGAAATTATTTATTATTGAACTTCTCTACCTGACGAGCAAGTTCAGGTAGTCGGTCGGTAGTCAGTATTTTATTATTTTTTAATATTAAAAATAAATTCACTGATTAACATTTCTAACACGTGCGTTTTCAAGTTACACCTAAATAACACTAGCTCTACGGCAAAACTTCCGCCTTCCCATAACAACGAATAAAAATATGTATCTAAATAAATAAATGATCGGCTGCGTTTATGGGATCTTAATGCTTAACTTTATATTGAACCCGTGTGACTATAGTGCTTTTGTCAAGTACGTACGAGAAATCGTCGGTTAATGATAATAAATCAATAATAATGCAAACTGCGTAAAATACACGGTGAATTGCTTCCCGAATATGATGTCACTATTTTTGTTCTCCGAAATTAAAAGTCAATATTTTATATTCTCTGTTTTTTCACTTGCACCACGAGATAATATTGTTTCTTTTGAACATAAATGACTTACCTATCTACCTACCTACAGTGCTTACTTCATTTTTTTTTGTAGCGTGTGCACTAAACAAAACCTTCAGACGGTTAGACGGTTTCTTCCAGCTCAAAAGCATGAACTCGCATAAAAGCAAATTCAAGGGCCTCATTTACATTGTAATTGAGCGATTCTTGTTAATGCGCAATCAATTCAATGAAATGTCAAAGCTTCACAGGCGGTCTTCACGGATATCCAAAGTTAACTCGTTAAATCGATTTGACATATTACATTGTTTCAGAAGTGCCAAGTTAACATGTTCATTTGCAACAAAGCATGACAAACAAACATTCTGGCCACACTGTAAAGTCAGCGTCAAATAGTTCGTGATACCCAAAGTAGCCAAAAAGTTCGCAACAAGTCTTTATTGCAATGAAGAATGTTCACTAATTTTGTTTTTTAGCTTTCTGTATTCTCTGTTAAAAATAAAAAATACACGTGAAAGAATTATTTCGATACGTCAATTAGTTTCCAAGATATTGAATTTTAAAAGTGCGGGCGGCGGCCGGCCCGCCATTTTATGCGCGTGACGTCATATTACAACGACTGGCTCATATTTGTATGGGTGGAATCTTGCAAACTGAATTAAGACCCACTTCCAGGCAACCGATTAAGCTGAAATTTCGCAAACACATGTGATTTGGATGACCATGCAATATTATGATGACATGGAGCTGATCTGATGATGGAGCTGGAAGGTGGCCATAGGAACTCTATAATAAAACGACTTAAATGCATCGAGTTTGGGCTCGTTCGTTTTGTATTGATGAGTATTTTAATTCTATATAGTAATCGGGGTCTAATGATGGAGCTGGAAGGTAATTCGCAATAAAACGACACAATCGCATCAAGTTTGGGTTTGGTTCAATTTTAATTTCTGTGATGGGTCTGGGTCTTAATATGTATAACAAGTTTGTATTTACAAAAAAAAAATGAAGTATGTTTATATCCGTTTTCTAGTGAGCGGACGCTGTGAATGTACGTCACACGGGGTCACGTGACCGTCGGCGGGACCCAATATTTAAGCGAACTTTGAATGCCTATAAAATCATAACTACTGGGTATTTTTGAATGAAATAAAAACTAATGTATTTGTAAATGTAAAAGCTTAACTGTAACATAGGTTTCAAGTGATTTTGCATACCTAGTAACATTCTCAATTGGAATAAGGTTGTGTTGTCAACTGTTTTGCCACAAACTATTTGACGCTGACTGTATCTACGCGTGACATTCCCCAAAGTCAAGTTTAAAGGACAGAGAGATTTAATCGCATTATTTATTTGCAGGTCGAAAAACCAGTCACCGAGGGTCTGTCGCACCGAACTCGCGACCAATGGGAGATCGACCGTTCCTCGCTGAAGTTCGTGAGGAAACTGGGCCATGGTCAGTTCGGAGAGGTGTGGGAGGGGTCGTGGAACAACACCACGCCTGTGGCCATCAAGACCCTCAAGTCTGGGACCATGGACCCGAAGGACTTCCTCGCTGAAGCGCAGATCATGAAGAAACTCCGACACAACAAGCTGATTCAGCTGTACGCTGTCTGCACCTTGGAGGAGCCAATCTACATCATCACTGAACTCATGAAGAACGGATCTTTGCTGGACTACCTGCAAGGTAATTTTTGTGCTGCGCAGTATTTTTTCCAATTCGTCACAGTCAGTAACAATTGAATTAAGAAGACGTGCCAAACAAAACAATTAACTAAGTAAAAAATAAGTCGGTACACAAGTACGTAATCAATTATAGGGGCTTTGATCTCTATTGATCGATGAAGTTGTGGCTCTCGATGGAGCTTGAGTGACATAATAACCAGCGGTGTGCTGCACCTTGAATGCGTCTTATCTAATAGTCCTTAGAATTATGTGGCATTGTACGAACTGCTTTATTCGCATTCATTGCGTAAATGACGCAACAGAAACATAGATGTTATCGCCGTTCTATAAATAGCATTTCGATGTGTTATTAATGGTATACCCTTCGATGTAAAATAACAGTAAAAGGATTAGGTACTACTGACCCCTTCATAACACTGCATGATTTAAGTCCGGTGGCAATGCGCTTATGGCCTCGATTGTTTAAGTAAATCGTCAATCACTCGATGATGTCATCGATGTTGCAGAAGCCGAACAGTATACAATTTTATGCATAACCAAAACACATTAGTAAAATGCAGTTACTGTCGGTTATTTTGATCAGTATTACGAAAATTACCATCGAAGAATAACATAAGTACATAACCGTATCAAAACGAACCAGTATGCTCGTAATCGCATTTGTATGTCAAGTAGCTCTTGATCGATGGTAATTTAGCCAGAATGAAACTTTCCAAGAAAAACTGTTTATTTAATATGCGTTTCTCATTTACGTAGAAACGTTGACAAATCGAAAATACTCCTTATTACATAAGTAGACTAAAGATTGATGTCCGCGTTATGAAATGTCACATAAAACTGTTCAAATCCATAGCCTTTGGTTGGTTGAATGTGAATATTTAGAACAAATACATTATTGGTCCATGTCATTTCATAATACGGATCAGAAGACTGTATTACAGAATATTAAAACTCAATCATAAGAATAAATTAAGGTTCTGATCGGTAGAATTGCAATATTTAAACACGGCAGAATCTAAGTCTGATTTAATCTAATCACGAGGGTTATTTTGTAATACGGGCTGAAAAGTCTTATCGCCCGACTGCACGACGCAAAGGAGTTCATGTAGTTAAGAGCCTAACACCCGTATTCACAAGCATTACTATGAGGTCTCACAGTGCACGTGGACGCACAAGGTCCCAAAAACCTATTCATTGACAATAGAGTGTCGGAGTGTCACACACGAACCAATCAACGCCGTGCGTTCACTTAGGCAAGCATCGTTTGTGAATACGGACATAATGTTTATTACTTTAAAGTAGAGATGAAACGGATAGTGGTTTGGCCGGATACCGGATACCGGATATCCGGCCAGCTGCTAGGCCGGATAGCCGGATATCCGGCGGCCGGATAGTTGGCCCATTGTCTCGTTGTATGTCGTGACGAGTTTAGCGCCGCACAGGTGCTTCGAACGCGACCAGTGGGTCTATTAGTAGACTAGACTAGTCAAACTTTTTGAAAATCGAATCCGTCCGAATAGAATGCCAGATTTTGCCACTTGTCTAGGGGGCAGATCAATTCGGGCGATTTCGGTTGCCATCGTGAGTGTGTGATTGAATAGCGAAAATTAAATTAGTTTACTTGCTGCGTAATCTGACTGAACTGCATCATGTCATCAGAGGGCCTAGTGTGAGTTTTCATCAAACGCGATCACTAGTGAGCGCGTCAAAAAATGACATTAAATGTATGACGGATTGTACAGCGCCCCTAGCGGGAAACGTTCAAAAACTAAAATTTTCATACATTTTTTAAACGCGCTTACTAGTGAGCGAGTGCAAGCTAGAAAAGCAAGGTAAGGAAATAAGAATAGAAAGAGGTGTACGTCAGGGCGACCCAGTATCACCTAAACTGTTCACTGCTGTTCTGGAAGAGGTGTTCCAAAAATTAGATTGGGAGAAATGTGGACTAAATATCAATGGTGAATACCTGTCGCACTTGAGATTTGCAGATGATTTGATTATCATCTCGCAATCAGGGGCAGGGTTACAGACTATGCTGAATGATTTGGATACAGAGAGTCGTAAAGTTGGATTAATCATGAATACAGAAAAAACTAAGGCCATGACAAACGGGAACCAGGAACCTATCAACGTGAACAACAACATAATTGATTATGTAGTTCGTCTACATATACATCTATCTCGGTCAAACAATCTCGCCAATGGATCTTACATCTAAGGAAATCAACAGGCGAATAGGTAATGCATGGAAACAATACTGGAGTTTAAAAGAAGTGATGAAAAACCCTGTAATGAGCATGACTGTCAAACGAAAACTTTTCGATACTTGTGTACTGCCTGTCCTTACATATGGCTGCCAAACCTGGGCGCTGAATAAAACTCATATCCATAAACTTGAAACATGCCAAAACGCAATGGAACGAAGCATGATGGGGAAAAGACTTTCTGATAGAGTAAGAACCACCACCATAAAGAATTGTACAAGAACAAAAGATGTAACAGTAACTATCAGAAAGTTGAAATGGAGATGGACAGGACACACAATTAGAGGAAAAGAGAAATGGTCTAAATCTACAATGAACTGGTTCACAAGGCATTTTAAGCGAAAACGGGGAAGGCCACCAAGAAGATGGGTAGATGAAATAAAGGCCACAGCTGGAGGTGGATGGGCAACAGTTGCAGGAGATAGAGGAGAGTGGAAACAGTTGGAGGAGGCCTTTGCCAAATGAGGCACACAGACAAGTGTCAATTAGAATAATATTAAACTCAATCAATTTTAAACTCTGTATGTCTGAATAAAGGCTTATATTATTATTATTATTATTATGCCACAATGAATGTAACCCAAAACAAACAAAAACATAGTTCTGTATTTAAATGATAAAATAGCACTTACGTCTTTTTCTTGGTTGCCGCTAGAACTCCAGGCCTTGTTGATCCATTTTTTGGGGTCAAAATCATCTTCGCCGAACGTTTTTAAGTCCTAAAACAAGAAAAATTCGTAAATAAAAAGCGAATTTCTTATTGGATACTTAGGCTGGAAGATAAAGTATTATTTCTGACTTCTAAACTCACCATAGCAGCGAATACTTGTTGTTAGTTTATACGCAAGAAATACGAACGAAAAATGGTTAATTCTTAGTTATAATAAATTGGAAACATGAAAATAATACAAATTCTTCTGCTGTAAGCTGACGTGTTGACATACGAAACTGACAGTCGACGTAAACAGCTGATCTTGACATTGACAAACTCATCTCCTGAAACAGCGCCATCTCTTGTATTTCTCATAAACTAATTTGTACAAGATGTGTTTTTATTTTTTTATTGTATTCATGATTTGGCATTTGACCACGTGTACGCTTTTTATAAAAATAAGTTTAAAAACCGTAATTAATTTAGTCATCATTTATAAAATTAATATTTAAAACCTTCGCATCTAAAAAGTGAGTTTTTCCTCTAATTTCAATTCACCTCGAAGTTAAATTATTTTTTGTTGGTTCCACACAGCTACAGTTTATAACTAAAAATTAATTTTTCATTACATAAAATCAATAAACAGGCTAAAAAATCGTTAAGCTTTGCTTGTATGCACTATATTCCTGCCATATTCTTCGACTCCTGCATACTAGATTAGTGAAGTTGCGAGGCAGTTATCATCACAGATCACACTGTTATTATAAAAAAAAAAACAAGAAAAAAGAAAAAAAGAATAAGTGAATAACGTCATTTTCTCATTTTTCCAATTTCGATTTGGTTGGGAAGTTGGGAAGGAAATGGATGGTTTTAAAAAAACGAAAAACATTTAATTAAATTAATTACAAAAATGCAATACTATTTCTTGTGATACTGATATTTCATTTCAAGTAATTAGATAAGTAGCTTCAATTCTAGTTAGGTTATTTTATACATTGCATGTTAGTGAATTCCATTATTTATTCCTATTTTAATGAACTCGTGAATCTCTGACATCTGACGTAGTGGATCTAAAAAGGCTAAATGTTAATGAATAAAGTCCAGGTAAGTAAGCTTATTATCTTCTGTATTTTTAAAATTAATTTGAATCTAATTTCCTATTTCTCAACACCAGTTTTTGCCATAATTTTGTTTGCACTTTTTTGTTAAGTTAAATGTGAGTCACTTAGGACTCCAGTGCTATCAGATTTCACATTAATAAACTGGCTTTACATTATAGTTTATTTATTGCCAAATTCTAACCAAATTTTATGTCTCTTGTGTATGTGCAATGAGTATCCATTATTATATCCACCCTGTATGTGACTGTAGTGCCCTCCTGATTTCCGACCAATTACAGGATAATGTCATTTACTGATCATTGGAAGGTATAATTTCTCTAAGTACGTATCGACTGGAAGACCTAATTAATTTTCAATTGGCTTGGGCTGTGTTCTGTGCAAGTTGTAAAAGAGCATAAATACCAAAACCACTTAAAATTATTTACACTGTATTTTATATTAATGTTGACTGCCAATAATAACCCAACCAGTGAAAGTCCAGTTTGTCCAGTGAATGTCTGTCATTGGACCCGCAATAAAAAATAGTTCCTGAACCCCCATAATCCGGGCCTTTTCAAGGCAAGAGTGAATAGGCACTTAAAGGGCAGATATGTACCATCCTAGACTGCATCTCACTTAACACCAGGTGCGATTGTAGTCAAATACCTGCCTTGTCTTGCATAAAAAAATAAGTGAGAAGAACATAGGAAGACTTAATGTAGTTTCATTCTCTAGAAATGAAAGAAATAAAATTATGTATAAAAGTCTACAATGTACTTACTGTATCGTTTCCAGAAATGAAGCATAAAAGTAAGAAGAAGTATCATCACAATGACTCGGACTCCGAAAGCGACGTTCCGCTGGTGGACTTCCAGAGTCGATCCAAGAGCAGCCTGTATACATACTCTGTGGAGAAATGCGACTTTTGTGATATGATCTTCTATAACAAGTAAGTTTTATTTCAATACTAGCGTTTCAATATCCCGAAACTCCACTCCTAAGGGGGTAAAGTTTGTAAAATCCTTTCTTAGTGGATGAATACGTCATAACATCTGCCTGTATGCCAAATTTCAGCCCGATCCGTCCAATGGTTTGGGCTGTGTGTTGATAGATCACTATGTCAATCAGTCATCAGTCACCTTTGATATTATAATGATATCAATAGACATAAGATGTTAAAATTTCCTATGGTTAAGAGTCCCATCTCAAACTAAAATTACTTGAAAATCGAATTGCCTCCTAGGCAACGAAATGATATTTTCAAATAATTTAAAAATCAAAACATTAATATTTATTATCTTGTTGTATAAGTTATCAATTTATTTATTACTAGCTTTCCGCCTGCGGCTACGCCCGCGTGGACTCCGAAAAACCCAAATATTTTACGGAACCTTGTTTTTTTCCAAAATAAAATGCAGCCTATGTTACTCATGGATAATGTAGCTTTCGTACTGTACTGTACCGTTTTTATAATTTATAAAAACGGTACAGTAGTTTTTGAGCCTATTCATTACAACCAAACAAAGTTTTCCTCGTTATAATATTAGTGTAGATGAAAAAGAAACATAAATATCCTTTCTTATTTATATTCTGTATTTAAAAAAGTCTGATTTGTTTTATTTCTTTTATCATTTATTAATTTCCTCTGTGAATTGTGTATCTTTATTTATTGTGCACCAATAGTAAAAGAATCAACTTCAGCTATTTAAAATTTTTCTTAATGATGCTTTTAATGAACCAATTACTAAATGAACTTATTAATATTTGTATAAACATGTTAATGTCGCAAACAGGTTTACAAATTGAGACTACGTATTGATGAACGTCGATGCGCTTTCGACAATTGACTTGCAGGCGTCTTCCATAAATGTTCTNAAAGTTGAAATGGAGATGGACAGGACACACAATTAGAGGAAAAGAGAAATGGTCTAAATCTACAATGAACTGGTTCACAAGGCATTTTAAGCGAAAACGGGGAAGGCCACCAAGAAGATGGGTAGATGAAATAAAGGCCACAGCTGGAGGTGGATGGGCAACAGTTGCAGGAGATAGAGGAGAGTGGAAACAGTTGGAGGAGGCCTTTGCCAAAAAAGGCACACAGACAAGTGTCAATTAGAATAATATTAAACTCAATCAATTTTAAACTCTGTATGTCTGAATAAAGGCTTATATTATTATTATTATTATTAATTACAATGGTACTGAAAAGGTATCCACTCAGCATGGTGTCGTAGCATCTCAGTCGACAATGCCACGACGCTGGTCTTCCGTGTACACCCAGACAAGGAGACCACTACTAAGTTAGACTTGATTTCCTCCTACGCTGACGTCGGTCGCGTACATCGGTCGAGCGTACGAATTCAAAAATTCAAAAAATTCAAAATTCTTTATTTCTTTATAAAGGCTAACATAAATACTAATAGACGAAGCCTCCTTTTAGGCGTATGATTGCCTGTGCCAGGAGACAACGCTCTGCATAACTATAGGTGTTTTGTGTAAATTCTACTCCAAATCAATAATAAAGAAATATTCTATTATTCTACAATTATTATATTTTTATAAATATAATGATGTGAATATTATGTGTACTTACTGTAGGACGTGTGTATGTGTATAAACACAATGTTCTATGAAGCACCGCACTGCAACGCCGTCGTCAGCGGCAGATGATTACATAGAACTAGTGTGTAATCGTGCGCGCCGCTGACGTCGGTCACCGATGTCAGCCTAAAAAGGAAATCAAGCCTTAGGAACCATTGTTTTTTTTCTTGTTTTATGTGATATGCGATTATAATAAAGTGCTTATCTTTATTCCCCAGGCATAATGTGCGAGCTTCTCTGGTCGGACCCGCAGCCGATGGCAGGGCGCGCTCCGTCGCGGCGCGGCGTCGGCTGCCAGTTCGGGCCTGACGTCACGGCCAACTTCCTGCAGAGGAACAACCTGGACTACGTCATCAGGAGCCACGAAGTCAAGAATGACGGCTACGAGATCGCCCACGACGGGAAGTGTATCACTGTCTTCTCCGCGCCCAACTACTGGTCAGTATAGTCGCCAACTGCTGGTCAGTATAGTAGCCAACAGCTGGTTAGTATAGTCGCCAACTGCTGGTCAGTATAGTCGCCAACTGCTGATCAGTTTAGTCGCCAACCGCTGGTCAGTATAGTCGCCAACTGCTGGTCAGTATAGTCGCCAACAGCTGGTCAGTATAGTCGCCAACTGCTGGTCAGTATAGTCGCCAACAGCTGGTCAGTATAGTCGCAAACCATTGGTCAGTATCGTCGCCAACTACTGGTTAGTATAGTCGCCAAACACTGGTCAGTTTAGTCGCCAACCGCTGGTCAGTATAGTCGCCAACTACTGGTCAGTATAGTCGCCAACAGCTGATCAGTATATTCGCCAACTGCTGGTCAGTATAGTCGCCAACCACTGGTCAGTATAGTCGCCAACCACTGGTCAGTATAGTCGCCAACCACTGGTCAGTATAGTCGCCAACCACTGGTCAGTATAGTCGCCAACTACTGGTCGGTATAGTCGCCAACCACAAAGAGAGATTCTCAAAATAGACACTGACTATTTGACACCACCAATCAACTGACGTACTTTTAAAAACTGTCAAAACGAGACTCGCATAGATTTTGTATGGCAATACAAGCAAGTGACGTCACTATTTTATCAACTCAAATTACTTTTTTAAATTTGAATTTTATGTAGTGCACCTAAATGACATGTAGTTTCATGATTGTTGTTTGTTTTGTTTCAGCGATACGATGGGTAACCTAGGTGCTTTTATCACAATGAACGGCAAGGACCTCAAGCCGAAATTCACCACCTATGAGGCCGTGGTAAGTAAATAAATACTCGATTTCCCTTCATTTACACTAATACCCTTATTCATAATAATGCAAACAGCTTATTAAACTTATTTTAACTATCGCACTGTTTTATCTCGTTCATACTTGGCGCTGTCATCATTTGATAGAAAGTGACAAAACAGTGCAATAGTTAAAATAGGTTTATTATGCTATTTGCCTTATTATGAGTAAGGGTATAAAATTATTCTAATAAATGCTGATCTTATTTTTTATGGAATTTAAGAACTAAATACTAATACTAATATTATAAATGCGAAAGTTTGGATGTTTGGATGTCTGAATGTTTGTTACTCTTTCACGCAAAAGCAATTGAACGGATTTTGTTGAAACTTTACAGTATTATTGTTTGTAACCCAGTTATAATTTATGACGATATGTGACAAACTAAATTTCAATAAATAAATAAGATATGGGTAAAAAGCGCCATCTATTGTCATTGGTTAAAATCTACAGCCAAAAAATGTTGACGTTCGTAAATATACACATGTGGTGAAGCCGTTAAACGCCATCTATTAACATCATTAGTAATTAAATGAGGTCCACGCGTACGAAGTCGCCCATAAGGGGCACTTTACATGTCTCTATCTTTTGGGACCAGCTACCTAATAAAAGCTGATCTTATTTTTTATGGAATTTAAGAACTAAATAGGATACTCCATAATCACTGATTCAAATATGTAGTAATATTTTTTTTCTCATTACAGCCGCATCCGGACGTGAAGCCGATGGCTTACGCGAACTCATTTTTCAACATGCTCTGCCAATGATGGAAGCGGGCCCGCGCCCGGGGCCCCGCCCGCGCGCCCCGGGGCCCGCGCCCGCGCGCGTCGCTCAGCTCGCGCGGGCCCCGCCCCGGCCCTCGCTCCGCGGCCAAACGAAAGATGCGACGGATCCTCAAAATGGTCGCCAAGCGCACGCGGGACAACGCCCAGGGATGGACTTAGGGTACTTAGTTAATCCGATTACAATGGATGTCGACGGTGAAGTATCAATGAATAATATCTACAAAAAGGCAATTTTACAGAAAGCGAAACACGTTTCATTTCGTAGGTAATTCTAATAATTTTGATCAATTGTTTTTTTATATTATCTAATATTATAAATGCGAAAGTAACTCTGTCAGTCTGTCTTTCTTTTAACGCCTAAACCACGGAACCGATTTTGATGAAATTTGACATAAAGATTAGGGTTGCCAGATCCAAAAACACAAAAGCCGGACTCTGTGCTTCATTTAGGCCTCATATCTCTTGAGTGGTTGAATGAACATTGGGCGTTTTATGTGGCGCGGCAGCCACATAGAGATAGTTTTGAGTCCCAGGAAAGGACATAAGATAGTTTTTATCCCGGTTTTTGAAACAGGGACGCGCGCGATGAAGTTTTTCGGTGACAGACAAAATTCCACGCGGGCGAAGCCGCGGGCGGATATTAGCTAGTGTATTATAATTGGGTTGTGAAGGTTATAGTATTTTGCAAATATTGTATGTGCAATTGTGCATAACCCTATTTTGAGCACGAATATGCAATAAAACATAAATCGCCACAATGCTACTTATTATTTGTTGATACTTCACCGTCGATATGTAATATTACGTTTTCCAAGTGACTGACTGTGAGTTTTGTGACGGTCGCCGTTTATGTAAACCGTTTTGCGTAACCTAACCAGTTTTTAATAAGTAAAGCCAGTAGGTACAGTGACTGGCCAGCAATGTTCGATTAGTTCGATTAATTATGCATGCCGTGTCTTGTCATTTTGTTTTAAATTCTAATTATTCTCCCTTTAAATTGAATGTAACTTGCGAAGTATTTTCGAATGGTCAATTCCTGTAGTTGTTAAGGTTACACAAGTGAGTGTTAGTTGAAGCCCCTCAGTCCGTCACTGAATGACCGCATCAAAGGTGCATACAAAAATGTGAGTAATAATTAATGCTCAAGTAATGTAAGATAAGCCGAAACAAAGCGGGGTAGGTATTTATATACCACGGGGTTCTTCTTCCTAACGCAGTGTTTATAACCTGTGGTCCACGGACCCCTGGGAGTCCATGAGCATATGTATGGGGGTCCATAGCCTTAGTGGACCCTTTAACAATCATAAATTAAGCCACTAAAAGTTTTGTAATCGAAGTTAAATGCTGCTTTTTTATCAAGGGGGTCCTTAAAATTGTGCTTGATTTTCTAAGGGGTACGTGGACGTGGTTAAGAAACGCTGTCCTAACGGATATTTTTGTAGGACAATATAAATGTAGCGCGGCCGGGACCGACTCATCGCCTTACAACGATCGTTTATTTTTATTTTGTTAACCTCCCGCGGTGCCGTTGCAGGGAAATGGTTAATTATGTAAGTTTGATAAAATTCTAATCGTTAAAATATGGGTAGTGAGGTAAACAACTGAAAATAAACACGATTCCCCTCCCACAGTCATTTAGTATGGAAATGTCATTTTAATCCAGAGTTCATTCTAGGTGTAACTTTTTATTAATATGGGGTAATAAGTTTATTTTAATTTGAAGATTTAAAAACTGTGCGCTATATTTTAATGCAACATTAATCGCGAATTCCATTTTATTAAGTTACATTATTATTGCATTTATGATTTTGTTATAATATCATATTTATCATGTTTTTTAAACTTATCTTCAGTCAGTTACATTTTGAACCTTGAAGCCATGTGAATACAGTTTATAAAAATTAAATAATTTTGTCATTTCCCTGCGACACAAATTTTTCTCCCAATCGCACTCGTTTGCTTTAGCGGGAAGCAAATGATTTGCAACTACATAATTTCTTGTACATTCTAGTTTTAAGCCTTAGAAATATGTAATTGTCATTATTATTTACAATTTGCATACGCATTTTTTTCTGGCTGCATCATTAGAGACAAATCCATGGGTTGGTTATCTAAAGCCCGGTCTCTGAGCACTTAGAACTTTGTCCAATGACCCCAGGCTACCCATCCTTATCGCTCGCGCGTAATTATGTTACTGTTGCGCTCGCACACTCACTGCGGGCGCCTGTCGCGGCGTCGCACAGTCGCACAGTCGCGACAGCAATATAATTACGCGCGAGCGATAAGGATGGGTAGCTTGGGGTCATTGGACAAAATTCTACGTGCTCGCAGACGAAACTATACTAAACATTGTTATTAAAAATAAAATAAAAAGATATCAACATCACATATTCACATCAAGACAGCAATAAAGTTGAGTAAAATTGAGTTTTGAGTAAAATATTGTCGCAAAATCACACTTATTACAACAATTAAGATGCTAGTGTGTGGCTTGATGTGCATTCACCTTTAAATATAATAAGAGTTTAGTGCAATAGTAGTAAATTTTATGCATCGAATGTTGTTTTGCTCTTATAAAATTCACTAAACCAGCGGAAGCTTTTTACATTGTAAAATAAAGCATTTATTACCTATGTAAAATAACAAGACACCTCAAATACGTACCTAGAAATAATGTATATTAATCTTTAACCATAATAACCCTTATTTTTATTTACTTCTATGACTTATGTAAATGTATGATGCAGCCAGAATCAAGGGGCATTTATTTTTTGTGTGAAAAGTTTACTTTTCTTGAATGTGACCCCTTATAGTATAATAACGTTGCAATCACGCCATAATGAATTATTTTTGTTTATTTTTTGTGTATTAGAACAAATTTTAATTTTTCAACCTTATACATCACTGCGATGTAGATTTATAAGATATTAAAACTGTATATATTATGATTATGTTTAATTATGCGATGAACCTGTTTGAAGTCGATTACACGCAGCGCGGCAGTTTTAATTAACCCTTTAACCGCCACAGCATTTTTTCAAATATTTCTTTTCAAAAGTAAAGTTCACAATATGGTGGAAATATAAGTCATAAAGGGTTAAATAAAATAGCCAATCTGCGTAAGCGCCACTCAACGATCGTGAGTTGCTATAATCGACTTATCTGCATTTATCCCAAAACTTTCTGCTCACTATTACCAAAACATTTTATTTACACACACACACACACACACGACCACGAGCTGGAAGACGTAGCGTGGGCAGGCCTCCCACTAGGTGGACCGACGATTTGGTGAAGGTCGCGGGAAGTACCTGGATGCAAGCGGCGCAGGACCGGTCTTTGTGGAAATCCTTGGGGGAGGCCTTTGTCCAGCAGTGGACGTCTTTCGGCTGAAACGAACGAACGAACACACACACACACACACACACACACACACACACACACACACACACACACACACACACACACTCAAGACAAATCGAAGATTTTATTATCAATTTTCAGGAACATTTCTTTGTTACCTTTGCGACTAACATCACATTCCCCAATAGTTATACGCCTCTGGTCAACTCATACACACAGTAAACATTTTACAATGAATTTCTCGTGCTATAAACAATCTATTCTGATATAGCATTGCTTTTTCACTGCCATAAAAATATTTCAATATGGCCGCCATATAACGCTGTTCGGTTAGTGAAAATAAGTAATCAATCACTATCTACGCGCTGGATAGTCCATATAATAATTATAATCAGTACCCTAATTACTAAATTCACCATGCAATAGTATGGCGAGCCTTAATAGTCAATGTAATAATAGTTAATGTAAGAAGACTGTCAACGCATCACGCTTTCGTTTATTAATTAGGTATTAAGATTCGTTTCAATATAATAATAATCCACTATTCTATGACCAAATCCATGTCGACATTTTTTCTCGTGTACCTGACCTTTTAATTTTGTTAATGTCAACATTTGTACAGAAAATCACTCCTGTCAGTTTTGTTTTTAAATTAATAATAATAATTTTAATTATTGAGTTAATGATTAAACTAGAAATAATGAATTTCACATCAACTAATTATACTATAGATACAGCTTCAAAATAGTGTTTATCGTATTTATTAAGAAGCGTCTGAAATAAGTCACTCATGCGCATGTTCGACATAAGGAGCACAGACAATATTCATATAAAAATAATGTAAGTATACATAAACTGATATTGTCGATTGCAAGGATACAATCCATATTGTAAGATTATTAATTGAGTATTTAGGTACTAATGCAATATTTTACACGCCTTGTATTCTTTTAGACATTTCTAAATCTAGCTTAAGTTATGTGTGAAATCACACTCGAGAACAGATTCAGACCTGTAATTGGGCTTAATTATGGGTACAACTTGAGTTTTAATCGAGTTTTGAGGCGTTCGAAATACGACCTATTATTTCTACGTGGATCTATGCCCATATACAGGAAAGGCGATTGCCTATATTGGTGACATCATACTTTACATGAAGTATCGAAACAAAGGTCAAGTACTCGGTTAATATCTATCATCGTTCAGAGGGTAACGGTAAGTGAGCACCAAACCAGACCAGGCATGATAAGTTAAATGCTCAAAGCATAAGTTTTGGACTCGTAGGTTATAATGAATTATGTTTAAAGTGAGGTATGTAATCGCGCCATTTTGATTGCGCGCACGCTGCGGACGCGACGAGCCGAGCATATCAGACGATGTAGATAGGTTTTGGTGTTGACTTTAATTAATAAATTGTTAAATTTGTACATCAATGTTTTATTTATCTCCCGAAGGATAAACCTATGGGAGCGCGCGCACGGGTGACTTTTTGTCGCTGCGACAGTATTATCCGTGATAGTATATCTGTTTCTTTTACACCTCTATAAAGAAGGAAGGAGAGATACTGTCACGGTTACAATTTAAGTTACGTGCGCGCGCGCCGGTGACTATGAGTTGATTATGGTTTTCAAATTGGTCGTTAGCAGCGCGGCAGCAAGTAAATGCCTTTAACATAGACCTTAACACTATTTCATATTTTATTAAGAAATCATCACAGCAGCACCATTTAAAGGTGATTAAAACCCCTTGAAACATTTTAGTTTTCACTCTACATCTTCTAATTTGTTGAATAAAATATACAAGTATGAAAATAAAAAAGCGTTTATTTACATGGATTATCTTAAGAAAATTAAATGGTAATAAATAAGAAAAATATTGACTATTTAACTTAATTCTAATTAAATTACACTATCGTTAACGTAACAGCATCTGTAGTGCGTAGCCGAGTAGTACGAGGAATAAGCTGCTCTTGAC